AAATATCTGATATGCAGGATGTATTTTCATTGTTACAAATTGAACATAATTAAAGCATAGTGATTAATCACAAAAACAATATGTAATTATATATGTGTTTTCTGATGGTCTTAGGCGACCCCTGTGAAAGGGTCGTTCGACCCCCAAAGGGGTCGCAACTCACAGGTTGAGAACCGCTGGTTTAGCTCCTCTGAACTGAAATAGCAGATATCACCCAGACATCAAAGTCAGGCTGGGAAATTATATCATGGGTACCAGTGACATCTTAGCTTCTAGGCGCAGGCTTTTCATTTTAGGTCACCGAGTTCTAGTAGTTATTTGTTTCCAGTGATTGGAGAAGATCTGAACATGTTTGTTGGCTTTAGGATATTGAAGGCTCTTTGCAAAAAGCTAACTGTAGGAGAGAAAGCTCTTTCTTTGGCATTCCTAGGAGTTGTGATATTTACTCGTCTACTGTTTCTTTCTTTATTCAACACCAATTGGAAAAGTATTTTTTATTCCTCAAGATAGTTCTTGTGTTGTAGTTGTAGAGAATTTAATGTTTCATCAGTACTATGTGGGGGTGAGGGGTATGTGCTAGTCATAGTAATTGGCTCTCCTGATTTCATGTATTAGCAGTTAAAATGTCACATATATATGACTTGCCAGTCCACTGTATTGCTTGGGGAGCAAATGGTGCCAACAGATCTGTAGTAAGTAGGCACAGGGGATGCATGTTCCAAAAGAACCTCATCAGGGACTTCCCAGAGACAAAGCTTAACATTTTGTTTTGACTCTGATTTAAAGAAGTTTTGTAGTTAAGCTGGAGGTTAGGGTGGGAAGTAGACTTGGCAGGATTATAAAATGGAATCATTAAAAATGAAATGATCTAATTCAGCTCTTCTAGTTCAAGACTCTCCTTTGCAGGATTCCTAAAAAGTCATCTCATCTCTTTTCATACTCTCACTCCTCGGCACAGTGAAGGGTCAGATTGGCTTTCTAACTTAGCAGGATCATTTTCTAGGCAAAATACTTAAGAAGGATAAATGTTGGTCACTCTGGAGGGTGCTCCTTGCCAAAGGGCCTCTGCTTTCTAAGCCGCCATTTATAGGATAACACAACAGGGCGCAGTGATGTTCAGAACTAAACTCCAGAGTCCTTTGGGATGGAAGAAGCTTCTGGATGTTCCAGGGCAGTCAGCTCTCCCAGATCTTGCTTCCATTCACCTGATTCCTATAGAACTAATTTATTAGTAATTAGTAAGTATTATTTATTTAAGATGGCATAAATGCCCTGAATACTGTTCTCGTAATTTCACTTTACTTTTTTTCTCTAGTCTGTGTACCTCTCATTACCCCTTCCTCTCACATTCTCTATTTCAGGACTCAAAGACATGCTATGCTGTTGTTTTATGTGCCCCTGTGAAAGGAAAACACAGTAAATGTGGGGAGAAAGTATGTCTTAGAATCGAAACACCATTTCTGCTACTGTAAACAGTGATATCATTGAGGATTCAGGTTTTCAACCAAAGAGATGTATTTTATTTTTATTTCTTTTAAAATATATTTTTATTGATTTTAGAGAGAGAGGAAGGAAGATATGAAGAGAGAGACACATCAATCGGTTGCCTCCTGCTCGCCCCCTACTGGGCATGGAGCCTGAAACATGGGCATGTACCCTGACCAGGAATTGAAGCAGTGACCTCTTGATACATGGGATGACAGTCAATCTACTGAGCCACGCCTGCTGGGCAAGATGTATTTTATTATTGTCTTCTCTTCCTCATCCTTAAATTGTATTCTCTCTTCAGTGGTAGAATGGTTTAAAGCAACGGTGCCCAACCGGTGGTCCGCGGACCACTGGTGGTCTGTGAGGTCCGAAAGGTTGGTGACCGCGGGTTTTAAGTGTGGGGATTATAGGCCTAGTCTAGGTAGGAAACATTTCACAGTTGGTTTTCCTGGGTGGGAAAGGTAGCAAGCCAGGTTGACAGGGCCTCTGCTGTACCTCTTCTCCAGGCTGTTAGAGGAAATGCTTCCGCAAGCCAGTTGCTGGGATAAAGTGACTGCACATGACTATACCTGGAGCCAGCTGGTTTTAATAACAATGAATTGAATTAAGTCAATTGTAAAAGATTGGTAGCTGCTGTCCTTATTCTGCAGATCTGCTTTAAAGAGTCTGGCAGGGAGCCAGAGACCTGTTCTCAGAGAGCAAAATGCTGCCTGAGAAGAGCAATGTGCATTTCTTGCTGAGACCATTTCCTTAGGAACGTGTTCCATGTCAGGAGCCTGATTGACTGCCAAGGCACGTTTGAATTGGGAAACAGTGTTGCGGACATGGCAGACTTGGGGGGCCCATGGCCCATGTTTAGCAGATGTCTTTTTAACTGACCCATGTTGTACAAAAAAGGGAAAACTGTTTTAGCTAAAATTTAACAGGAGATTTTGTGCAAAAGTCCAGATTTCTGACTACTGTTTTGTTGTTGTTGTTTGTTTTAATAACCATTTCTTTACTTATTTTTTTTTTGTTTTTTATTTTATTTTATTAAGGTATTACATGTGTCCTTATCTCCCCAACCCCTCACCCCCAACTACTCTTAATAAATAGTCAGATCCACCAATACTTAGCCCACATTCTAGCTTGGATTCACAGTGGATACATACACACTTTTACCTGCCTGGAGCCCAGAAGGTCCTGCAGTATAGCATAGTGGTTTGAAGCATTTGGAGCTGACAGACCTTCACTGGAGTCTTAGTGCTATCACTCATAGCTGTGTGTCCCACAGCCCAGTGTTCTCGTGCATATAGAATAATGCCTAACTTCCCAGGTGCTGGTGCTCTTTTGAGTTACAGTTCTGAGACAGGTGGTTCAGGTCATTGGGAAGTATTGCATCAAAAAGAGTGCTCAATAAAATATGTGTATCACATATGATCAGATGAACTTATGATTATGTAATTAGCAATTTTTGTCAGTTGTTAAGAGAGTCCCAGAAATTCTTACAAAAAAGGGTGTGAGCAGAATAGATGCGAAGATAAGGTGATGTGGATTAGGATGACATGGAGGTGCTGAACACCAAGATAAATGCTGGCTCTACAGGATAATCTCTAGTATGCTTAATCTCCCCCTCACGTGTTGATTCTAATCTCTTTGTTACCTGGAAGTACTGTAAATAGAAACAGGATCATGTCTCTGAAGCATTTGTTCGTTTCCCACTGACGAGCAGCTCTACACATACAGTGGCCATATCCAGTGTAGGAGCTCTGTGGCTCTTCACTTATTTATGTCTCTAAGTACTTAGCTTGCAGGAAGGGTGTGATCCCAGGTAGCAGGTGTTAGCTGGCTGCAAAGGGGGATGTTATTTATCTTACCCCCCCTTTTCCTTAATGAATGACCTCTGAGTTGGTAATTGACAGGGATTATTGCCATTTTTTTAATCTCTGCTAGGAGGCTGCTGGAGTCTTCCCTCATTTCATTATCCCGTTATGATGGAGCAGGATCCAGAGAGCACCCAATTTACCCAGACCCAGCGAGGTAAGGCTGAAGTGAGAAATGGCACTAGGTGGGGGGGAGGGGCTGCCCTTGGGGTTGCCAATTGCTGGAAGCCCCATTTTGTGCCTCTCTGGTCCTGGTGCTCTTTTACTCTTGAGTTACAGTTTTGAGACAGGTGGTTCAGGTGATTGGGAAGTATTGCAGGTAAGTGAACAGAACCTCTGGTGACAGAGTTGTGACTGAGCTCTTATCCTTTGGGGCTCATTTCTGTGAATGTGGCACTAGAGGAGGGTCCTGGGGAGGCCACTGGCAGAGTCACAGGATAGGATATATTTTTTTCTTCGATCAGTGAGACTGTTGCCATTCAGATGGACAGCCAAAAGGGAAATAAAAGTATTTATTAATAGGGAAGTTACCTATAAATTCAAACAGATAAAGAATCCTTCTTGCTCTCATTTGAGAGTTTAGAATATCAGAAAGCAGAAATCAAGCTCATTTAGTTGTTGAATTTTTTGAGACTATCTGAAGGAAGAGATGACTGACAAATGGAACTAAATATAACAAGTTGGAACTTCATTAAATGCTTGACTTAATACTGATTAGAAGACATTTGAAAAATTCTTGAAGAAATAAAAAAAATTCAAATGAGTTGAAGATTCGCCTTAACCTGATACTGGTAACTGAGTACCAAGTTTGGAATGTTTGAGTTGATGAACATTTATAGTGAGAAGCCTTTGGGGTTGTCACAGCTGGACTTACTGATTGTTAATGATCTAAAGAAGGGATAAGCTGCACTTAGGCAGTGCCAGAGCACATTGTGAGGCTCTGCCCAAAGAAAAGAGTGTTTATAATGTTGGGGTTGGCAAGTTAATACAAGTCACATAAAGCTAAATGAGCTTTGCTCTGGTTTAAGAATTTCAAGTCTGAAAAACCTTTAGACCAAGTTGATTCCAGGGTTATTGAATGATCTTGTTGTTGGCACAGCTAAGTCATGATGCTGAGCGTTCTTCCTGAGATACTAGTGAAACGGTTCCCCATTATCCTCTTCCTTTGGATTGGCGAATCCAAGGATCAGGGAACATGGGGATTGACGACTTGAAAACAGGTAGACAGCTTGGATGATGATTGAAGCAAGGACATTTATTTATTTTAGTCCATATAATCGAAAATAATAAGCCCTAAATAAGAAAAGGAATATTTTCACATGAATCAAATACTCTGAAACACCGAGATAGAGAACTTTTTGTAGTTCTCTTAGGATTGCAATGGAAATCTCATTCTCAGAATTTTTAACCTAACAGAGTTTACCAGTAATTCTTAAAGACCATAGCTTGTCCTCCTTTTATGTTATTTGTTCCTACTCAGAGCTCTTTATCACAGAAAGTATCATACTTTATACTGTTGACGTTTTCACATTTTCCCTTTGAACACAAAAAATTTAAAATTTTTACTTGGAACACTTCAGAGTTTGATGGTTATCCAGCTCTTCAGTGGGAAGAGGATTGTTACCTCCTTACTGGTGGTTTCATTTATTTTTTCTCTTAGATTCACCCTGTGCACAGTATGTATAGGCCAGAGCCTTTGTGAGACATCTCAGCATTCAGATCCTTAGCTGCCCTCAGGATATCCAAAAGGATAAGGATAGGGATGTATTTGTAGTTAATAATTGTGCCAAGAATCCTTTTTAAAAAATCATTGATGCCTAGTTTTATAGCTTAGGGAATTTCTGTCCTATCCTATATAATAAAAGGCTAATGTGCAAATCAACTGAATGACCAGTTGCTGTGACACACACTGACCACCAGGGGGCATATGCTCACCACAGGAGCTACCTCCTGATGGTCAGTGCGCTCCCATAGGAGGACCGTTGCTCAGCCAGAATCTGGGCTCATGGCTGGTGGCGGGAGCCTTTCTTTTTTTTTTTTTTTTCATCCAGAAATGGTTTTTATAATCTTTTTAGATAAAGTTGTAAGTTTTTTTGTTTTTTTTTTTAGGGATGTCTGACTGCCGGTGGGGAGTGGGCCTAAGCTGGCAGTCAGACATCCCCTGAGGGCTCCCAAACTGTGAGAGGGTGCAGGCTGGGTTTAGAGCTCTCCCCTCCCTACCCCCCTCAGTGCACGAGTATTGTGCACCGGCCTCCAGTAGTGAAATAAATAGTGGGGGTTACCTAGTGCTGAGATTGTGCCCCTGCACATGAAATAACAATCTTATTGTCAGCTTCAACATTATTTCTGCTACTATCACCAATAATATTTGCAAGATTTTCCCATTAGGGTTGGTTATAAACTCAGGAATGAGTGTACTTGTGGTCACTTTTCAGAATCAATTCCAAAAACAATCTTTATTCTCCTCTTGAAACTTTTTTTACTTTCTTTTCTAGACTGATTGACTTGAGAATTTAGGCAATATTAGTTGGTTTCTGCTGGAAGGTTTTTTTTTTTAAATGTATTTGGTAGATATAGGAACAATTCAATAGTATTGACTTCTATTTGTTGAAAATAGAGGATTCTTGATTGATTTTTGCAAAATGCGTGGAAACAGGCCCAAACGAATAATGAAAGTTCTATAAGTTAAGACTTTTAAGAAATGGTTCTTGTACTCTCATGACCTTGGCCAAAGCATTTGTGCATCCGATGCCCACCCATTGTATAAAGATAGCTATGTAAAGATAATTTGGACTCTGGTGCCAAATGTAGCATCTTGTTTCATAACATAGACATTTGAGTTCCCAAGCTGGTCTGCTTGGGAATCCATTTGATGCTTGGCCACAGGAACACCACCTCTGATGACAGTTATTTGAGAAGCAGCCTCAGTTCCTACAGCAGTTGACTCCAGGATCTCCTTTGGCCTGAGTCAGTAGATTTATTGAAGATTTGCCCAGAGACTTTGTCAGGGGTAATGAAAGGTCAGGCAGCAAGATGTTTGTAAATACTTTTCCTACTATTTGGATATAACTCTTTTATTTCCATTCTCAATCAATTTTTCCAGGTTTCCATTAAAAAAAAATAGAGAGAGACATGCTTTTTTCTTTTTATATTTAAACATATAAGTTCAGGTCCTCAGTAATCCTCATTAGGATTGCTGTGTTCCCTTTTAATTAAATACAGACATATATTGTTTATATATATATATATATTAGTATATACATACCATTCTTCCATCCCCCCCCCCCATTTAAAATTATATTTTAGAGGGCTTTCATGTGTGCAGATAGGGATAATTTGTTCTTTTTAATAGCTGTATAGTGTTTCTTTGTATGGATATAGTTTAATCTGTTAATGGGCATTTGGGGTGTTTCCCAGGTTTTCATTAATTCTAATCTCTCTGTATCTTTGTATCCTTGTGTGTTTCTGTAGGATAAAATTTCTAGTGGAATTGTTGAGTCAGTGTGTACCTCAGGCAGGTTTTAAGTTTGGAAATTTCATAGTAATCCTATTAATACTATCATATAAAACATTCTTCTACTGTTTGTCTCTCACACTCTCAGTTAATAGCCTCAAATTATGTAACGATGTTGTGAAAGATGGAGGGAAAACTTGACAATGAAGGGAATGTGGCAAGTTGTATGGGACACTTGACATTTTCATGGAATATGAAGATACTAAGCAGCTGGAAGAACGTAGGTCTAGACTGTTTCCTGAGAATAGTCTAGTAAGGGAGAAGAAAAACTATGAGTGTTGCCTTCTGTACTGCTCAGTCCCCATGTAGCCTCTGATGCTCTCTTGTAAGACAGAAAAAATTTGTTTTTATCCTTTAAGGTTTTTCTGTTTTTCCAAGTATATTTTACTCTCAGTTTATCTTTTATTACAAATATCTATGAATAAATTGTTGAAGGAGAGATAAGAAGCTCAAAGAGATCATTTTAAGGAGCTAGAACAAATCTGGAGCATATCTGTTTGTTGGAGAAAAAAGGGGTCCTCGTGAAAATGCCTGTACATGCCTTCGTTAGTGATCTCAGGTTTCCTGTCTCCTGGCCGCTTCCTCATCTAAAACGGAAAGAAGAGATGACTGTTGATGATTGCTGTGATCCCTTTATATCTTATATTTTAGGTATGGATGATTGAGGGAAGGCTGTGAGTCTTAAAGGGGGTCGGTCCCTTAAGAAACTAAAAAGAAAAGTCCAGTGTTACTCTCTTGGGAGGGGACAGCTGTTGATCAGATAAGGACTGATTAAACAGTCTCTTTGCCTTATCTCAGAACTGAAACACTGGTGGTAATCCGATAAGCATATTGTGCAGTACAAACCTCCTGGTGAGTTAAATGCCCTTTATTTTTTATGTCTCCGGATTCGCCTCAGCAGGGAGAAGCCAGGGGAGAACTGGATTTACTGTCTTTCACAGTTTCCCCCACATTAGTGCTAGTTTGTATTTGTCCATCTCTGTCTCTCTCAGATTATCTCCTGCTGCATACTACGCTCAGAGGATGATCCAGTATCTTTCACGGAGAGACAGTATTCGCCAGCGCTCCATGCGCTACCAACAGAACCGGCTTCGCTCTTCCACCTCCTCCTCTTCCTCAGACAACCAGGGTCCATCAGTAGAGGGAACCGACTTGGAATTTGAGGACTTTGAGTAAGTACACACTCAGCTTGCTTTCTTCCCTCTGCTCCCAAGCTGGGAGTGCTTCCAAGTTGTTCACTGTCGGAGCAGCAGTGGTTGACATTCTAGCTTCAAACCTTTAAATTACTATTTATGAGTAATAGGATGGGGTGAGGGACGGGAGGGTTAAAATGCCCTGGGCACGCCCACCTCTGGCAGTTGTTGGCTGATTCACCGGGACCTGTGGGAAGAGGCAGTCCATTGGGCCCCGGGCCAGACTGGGAGAAGATGGCTGTTGTACTTACTTCCGTTTTGGCTGACCAGTGCCTGTGGAATGCATCTCGTGGACTGTGTTCACAACAGGAAGGCAGTAGGCTTGGTGTTTCTTTCACTTAAGCAGAGCAGGTATTGAGAGATTAAAAAGAAAATACTCAGATTTTCTAAAAGTTGGGTTCTCTTAGAACCCTTGATCACACTGGTACTTTGAGGTTTTACTCCTTTACCTAAACTTTCTCACTCTTCCTCCATCCCCAATAAGGATCCTTTGAAAGTTGCCTGTCAGGTTAATGTGGTGGGTTGCGAGGTGATTCCTTCCTCTTCTGGTCTTTTTAGTTGGTAGCTGGGGCACCCGGTGAGCTAAAGGAGCAGGGTCAGCCCCAGGCTCCAGAATTCAAGCTCCCCAATTTGACTTCTGGGTTTTGCCTTCCCTGACCTGGTGCTCCTGGCCTTTCTAGCCATTCATTGTTTCCATTCTGAAACAGCTTTTCTGGCTTGTATCGGATTGGACATTGACTTTTGTTTTGATTCCTATTTTTTGGTATTCTCAAACATGTAAAAAAAAGAGAGAAAAGGGTGTTTAAGTATTTTTTTTCCTCCTCTTTTACTGGCAGTATTGGACCAGGGCAGCCTGTCAGTCATTTTTCTTTTTCTTCTCTATCCTGACATAACCTGGTCAGGTCTGGGATCTTAAGAATTCTTGTCTCCCCTCAACCTTCTGTTCTGTGAGCTGAATGAATAGTCCCCAGGCGCCATCTTACAACAGAGCTTTAGGATGTGTTTGAGCGATATCTTTGCCAGAAAGAACTGAAAAGGTGGGAATACTCTTTGTACCAGTTCACCTTTCTGATGTGATCCTTAAAAGCACACTAGCATTTGTGTACTTGGAAGCAGAAGGAAGACTAACTGGGAGATTCATTTGCCTGAGGAAGATGTAAATGTGGAAGAAAGGCAGGGATGCTGTGAGCACTGTGGTGTGGCAAACGAAGCAGGCGCGGTGGCCTCTGTCATCGACTGAGAAGAGCCCAGTTACCCTCTGACTCTCAGCACACGTCATTCTTCCTTCCATCCACTGTAGGTGATGGTGGGTACACATAGCAGCAGTGAAGGGAAAATGTCTCCGTTCCCTCAACCAGGCAGACACCTGTAGTGCAATATGTTCCCCTGTAAATGCGATTATTTTTCCAGCATTGGGTCTATTCAGGGAAGCAATTACAATGTATCCACCGAGGTTACTGGGACTTAGTGCTGCTCAGAAGCCTCAGTAATCCTGTGTGGCTCTGGGAGTCGGTGCAGATTGCCTAGCCCCTTCTCCATGCACGCTTGGAAGGCTGTGCTATCCTCTGCAGTGGTGGGGCGTGGGGCTCATGCCTTTGAGCTGAGTCTTGCCTCGTGACTTGTCCTTCACAATGGAGTTCTGGGTTAGTTTAAAATGTTCTGTTCTCATCTTACCTTCTCTTTCTTCTGCTACCACCTCCTCCCTTTCTCCTTCCTTCCCCCTCGATTTTCCTCTGTCAGACTGCCTCCTCCTCGTGCTCCCCACAGCCCACCTGTGCTCTCACCTCCCCTTGGCTTCAATGCGACCTGAATTTACATCGCCTCTTCACCTTCCGTGCCCCGACTGACTTAAACTGTTCTTTCCTAGGGGTCTTGTGGTGCTCCCGGGTTACTAACAGTGGGCTGATTTCTCTAATGCCCCACTAAAAGTCCCTCCCCTTGGTGTTTGCCTTTCTTTTTGGACTGATACAGACTGTAATCTTGTTTTTAATAGCAGCTATGGATTGGTCGCCTCAATAGTAGTAATCTAGGTGTTCTGGTGAAGGGTGTTGCTGGTTGGTCAGTGCTCATTTACGTCTATTCAGTAGGCATCCATCCTTGCCCTCTTCCCCACGCTGTAAACTGAGTGCTGCTTGTGGTTGCTCTTCTTCGCTAAATATCAAAGTACTCTGAGGAGAGTGAGAAACTAGGGAATATGCTAGCATATTTTAATTTCTCAGCCCCCATCCTTTCCTTTAGTTTTAATAACTAGAAGGAAAATTAGAGGCATGTACGGCCATATTTTTTGGAGGGGGGAGTAAGTTAGACATGGCTTGAAATCCTGCTAACACACTTAGGTTACCATGAAAAGAAACTGTTCTATTGAGTCTCCTCACCTTCACAGCATATCCTGCTTTTGCCTTTGTCATCCTACTTTGACCTCTTCAGTTTGGTTCCATTTGCTAAGGCTTAGATCATTTTGTCATTCTCTAGCTTGTCCCATCCAGGTGTACAGAGTCCCCAGAAAATGAAGGGGAGCCATTATTCAGATCCATCATTTTGATTCTCTTTCATCATCCATTGAATGAAAGGTATCAGCTATAATTTTCATATGTATACTAACTTAGAACATATAAAACATTTGTAATATATATAAATATATTAATATATATCTTTAAAATTTTGTTTAATCCTTATAATAATCCAATGAGATATTTACTTTTTGTTTGTTTTTTTGTTTATTGATTTTCAAGAGGAAGGGAGAGGGAGAGAGAGAAACATCATTGATGAGAGAGAATCATTGATCAGCTGCCTCCTGTATGCCCCCTACTGGGGATCAAGCCTGCAACCCGGGCATGTGCCCCTGACCAGAATTTAACCCCGTTTGGCTCTATTCACTGAGCCAAACCGACTGGGATGAAATATTTACTTCTTTGTGGTATTCTAAGTGATGATACTTCACCAAAATCAGACATGCCTAAGATTAGAGAATAGGAAAGTCATATTTACTAGTAGTTTCTTGACTATTACTGTCCTGCAGGTTGAAAGCCCTTTAAAAGTGATGTATAGCCAGCCCTAGCTGGTTTGGCTCAGTGGCTAGAGCTTCGGCCTGCGGACTGGGGGGTCCTGACTTCAGTTTCAGTCAGGAGCACATGTGGGTTGTGGGCTAGATCCCCAGTGGAGGCGTGCAGGAGGCAGCCTATCAGTGATTCTCTCTCATCATGATGTTTCTGTCTCTCCCTCTCCCGTCCTCTCTGAAATCAATAAAAATATTTTAAAAAATAAAGAAACAAATAAAAGTGATGTACAGCCATAATCAGGCCCTTGTTCCATGAGCTTGCCGTGGAACAAGTCTGTCTAGATTTATCTCTAGGGAAGATAGCTTTAAAGGTTGGTCAGCATCAGGTTAAATTTTCTATTCCTTTATGGCCTGGATTAATGACCATTTTCCCAGGCAGGCATCTTCTCCTGCCATTCATCTCTGTCTGGGGGAAGGATTGAGACTGCAGGTTCCCTTTGTTTGTCAAAATGCACAAACAGGACATCCAGAAATCTGCTGTCAGCTGGTCTGTCCTGAAGCCCTCAGCATCCATCTTTGCATAAAGATGTTCACAGGGTAAAGGTGTGTGTGCCTGTGACATTGCTGTCTGCCTGCTAGAATGTAGATGGCAAAAAAGCATACGGCAAATTCCCATTTTCACTTTTACTATCCCTTTGGAAAGAGGGAGGCTTTTGTGAAGCCCAGGTTAAGCGCTATGTCCCAGTAGTTGCTAAAGTTCATAAAAGAGGTAGTGTATGGTATATGACTGTATGTGACTGTATGACTATTGCTTCAGCTATCCTTGCCCCTCCCACATCTTACCTGTTACTCTAAATGTACTTAATGATCCCAGAATCATCCCTAGCTCATGTCCTTCCTTTCTGACTCTTTGTAACTGCTTCACCTTCTAAGGCAAAAGAGATACCTGAGCTCATGACAGAACTACAGAACCTTCAGATTAGATTAGTCACATATATTTCCACCACACATACCAGCCACTAGGTAATTGCACTCAACTTTTTTTATTTTAATTTTTTACTTACAGTTGACATTCTCAACTTCTTAATTGTTGCTAGCACAGAAAAGAACAAATGCTACATCCACAGTTGTGACACTAGGCCAGTGATGGCGAACCTTTTGAGCTCGGCGTGTCAGCATTTTGAAAAACCCTAACTTAACTCTGGTGCCGTGTCACATAGAGAAATTGTTTGATATTTGCAACCATTGTAAAACAAAGACTTATACTTTTGATATTTATTTTATATATTTAAATGCCATTTAACAAAGAAAAATCAACCAAAAAAATGAGTTCGCGTGTCACCTCTGACACGCGTGTCATAGGTTCACCATCACTACACTAGGCTGTACACTGGAAAAACATCTCAGTGAGAATTCTAGTCTTTCAGCCTCATGATGAAATCTCTTTAGGTCTATTACATTTATTTTCTTAATTCTTCTAATTATCAGGCTCCTTTTACCCAGAAATCCATATTGTGATCTAATGTGCAAAAACGTTTTGTTTGAGAATGACAGTCATTTCTGGGCCCAAGATGGGTTCCTGTTTCTCAGTTTGACATGCTGCAGTACAACATACACATGTATAGGGGAGCATCCTCCAGCCAGGACTTCTCCTTTTATGGTCCCCTTGCTAGACACCTTCTGGCAAAGAAGTCATTAAAAGGTCTTCTTGGTATATGATGTAGTTGAGGGGTGTTCTGAAGGCTGTCACTCAGCTCTGCCTTCCGATTGGGTGTGGCATAGGGGAAGTTGCTTGTCTTTAGTTCGGAATGTTATATTCTCCATCTGCCCTTTTGGCATAACAGAAATTTAGTTGAGCCCTGACAAAGAAAATACGTTAGAAATCAGGTCATACTACTTCGATCATCTGTCATCGAAATCTGACAGCTTTGTGAGACTCATACTTCAAGATCCTGTGGCTGGGAATTCCAGTAGAGCAAAG